GGGGGGCTGCCCTCCAGGTCACTCCTCCGTGTCGCTCTCGGCGGCCGCGATGCTCTGCAGGAGGGGCAGGGACATGCAGTGCCTCTCGGGGTCAGCCAGGCTGCCGCAGGAGAAGCCCAGCTTGGGCCGCCGCTGCTTGAAGGGCCATTTCCCTGTGGGGATGCAGAACAAGGAGGGGGGGGGGGTTGTGGCAGGAGTCCCCCAGGGAAAAAAAGGCCCCAAGTCTCCCCCACTGCTGGGAATCCCAAATCCTCCTCCTCCTCCACCACCACCACCACTACCACTACTACTACTACTACTACTACTACTACTTGCAGAGGGGGTGAGGATGCAGGGCAGGGAGTGAGCAAGCAGGGAGGCCTTGCCCTCCAGCCATGCTAGAAGAGGCTCCTTGGGCTCCAGGGAGACCACCCAGTGGAAGGGAGGGGGGCCCTTTGCCCAGCACCCCACGGGGAGAACCTGCTGGGAAAGCCGGCTGAAGCCCCCTGGGTTCTCTGGAGAAACTGGCCCTCCTGGGTTGAGTTTTCTGGGGAACGGGGCAGGGTGGGGGGAAAAGCCCAGGGACTCCATCCCTGCCTTGAGGGAGAAGGCAGCGTCCCCCCCCCAACCGTTTCCTCACCTGCCACCGTCCGCAGGGGCCTGCCCAGGGCCCTCCACCGCTTGCGCAGGGCCGTGCTCTCTCTGGGCAGAGGGGCCTCCAGAGCCCTGGCTGGGGGAGAAGCTTCCAGCATGGCCATCCTCACCCAGGCAGCCCTGGCGGGAAGGCTGTGGCCCATGTGCTTCTGGGAGCCCAGCACGCCTTTGTGGCTGAGGGCGAACTTGAGGCAGGAGAAGGCCACGGGGAGGGGCTGCTCCTGGACAAAGTGGTGATGCTCAGCCTCCTGGGTGACGGACAGCGAGAGGCTGCCGGCGTAGAAGACCTCGTGCACCACGTAGAGGCTCCTCTGGGAGCGCAGCCAGGGCAGGTCGGGGCGCAGGGCCACCGTCCCGGGACGCAGGGCCAAGAACACCACCTTCTTATGGACTCCGGCCATGCAGAGGCGGATATGGCGCAGGGCCCCGTCCACCAGCCGCGTCTCCTCGTAGCGGGACTCGCCCCTCACCCGAGCGCTGTACTCGCGGGTGCAGTGGGTCAGCTCCCTGGGGGCGGGCCCCCCAGGCAGCAGGCTTTCCAGGGGCCCAATAGGCACCAGACAGCTCTGCCTGCGCAGGAGGCCCTGCCCCAGCTGGGCCTTCTTGATCAGCACCGTCAGGAGGTCGTAGGAGGAGGCGTCTTCCAGGAAGGGCACCGGCACCACGGTGGGCCCGAAGCGCTCCTCAACGACCTGCGGGGAGACACAGGGGCAGAGTGGGCCTCCCTGCCTTTGGGAGCAGCTGTGTCATTCCCCCTCCCCCGCTGGAAGAGAAGGGCCAGGTATGGGAGGGAGGGGGCCACAAAGGCTAGGGGTGGGAGGGGCAGGATGCCACCGCTCAGCCTGTTTCAAGGGAAAGTGAAACCTGGGACCCAAACCGTCCGGGGGAGCCGGCGGACCCCTTCCCCCCTCCCCTCCTTCTCAGCAGGAAGGAGATGGTGTTTGGGCTCCTGAGATCTCCCATGGTTTCCTGAGAGAAGGCTCCCTCCTCTGCTCCACCCAGATCTTCTCAACCACCTCCGGAAAAGGATCCCTCTGGATTTCCCCCTCGTGCCTCCTCCTCCCGGGGCTCTTGCCTGGACCTGTGTGCCCAGAGGCCAGGATACACGCTGGCGTTTCTGTGCCCTTGTATGGAGGGTTTTCTGGGAGACGCAAGCAAACTCTTCCCGTCCTGTACTGACATGCCTGCCTCTGGGCGCCTCCGCCCCCCCCCCCCCCCCCCCCCCAGGTCTCCTGCTCTTCCCCAGCTCCCTTCTCTCTCCGCTGCTGCCGGATTCAGCTTGGAGCCCTCCCGGTTCCCACCAGGCACAAACCTTCCTTGCCAGGTGCTGGGTCCCATCC